TCATGGTTGAGACATGCTTACTCTCGTGTTGTTGGAGACGATGTCCAGTCTTGACAACTTGGCGACCACCCATGTGGCCCACTTGACTTTGTCTTTCAACCTCCAAACCTTGTTGGCTCCTACCCCTAGCACACGACCATCCTTGGTTCTTTGTGAGGCCATGTCTGGTTTGTGCGTATGATACCTTCTTATGCATGCCCCTATGTCCATCATTCATGATTGATGGCATGTACTTACAACTCATGGACATGGACTTGCCCCCCTGTCCACACTTAGCAAAACTTGCATACTTATCACAAGCATGTGTAGGTTGGAATTCTTTAGCTTCTTGGACATGCCCCCTACTCCATTATTCATGGTGGGAGACATGCCTCCTTGCCCATACTTAGCTAAATTTTCAACACTACGAGAACTCTTTTTGGCTTTCCCACGTCTTTTCTTGTTGGACTTGACCTCATATCCACTATTGGTGATTGGTGGGATGCCCTCTTGTCCAGACTTAAACATAGTTTTACACTTATAAAAACCATGGGTGGCTTGAAGCTGTTGTGTCTTCCAAGACATGCCCCCTACTTCATACTTCATGATGGGTGACACTGACATGCCCCCATGTCTAGACATAGCCAAATTAGCATGCTTAGCACAAGCATGTGTTGCTTGTGATTGATGTGGTCTCTTAGACACCACATGCCCCCTAGATGGACTTCTAGGCTTCACCTTGTGGGAAGTTAGACTTTCATGCCCCCCATGATGGGCTCTAGATAGTTTGAGTTCTTCATAATCCACTCCTTGCCTACTCCCTGGGGGTGGCATTGGGGGTGGGGGAGCAGATCATGGTACTTGATCCATTTTGGATGAAACGCCAACACCTACGTCATCCACAGGGGTTCTTCTATCTAGCATGGGCGGTTGAACTCCATATTGTACAGAAAAGTCACAATCATGGGTCGTAAACGTGAAGGCCAAATTTTGGCCACAACTCCCATGTTGAGATGGCAGTTGGCTTGTTACCGATGTCGGCGATGTTCCTTTCCATGATCCACCATTTTGACAACCAGTGGAAGAAAGATTCTTACACCATGTAACACTATTTAGTGGTGGATCTTTGCTATTTATTGGCAAAGTCCTTGATTGAACCACAGATATGTCCGAGACATGTCTAGACTCATAAAAATGGCTTTGAGTCTTGCTCAAGTTGCCAAACCAATTATATAGCCATGTATCCATCCAAGAAATGAGAGAATCATGACGCTCAATGAGAGAATCGATACGTTCAATAAGAGAAGCATGGCGCTTAATATGAGAAGTTAAACGTCGGTTTACCTGTTGGGGGTCAACCATACCCTCCTCAATGGATTGATGGAGCGAAGTGATGGAAGTTGCTTCATCCAAACTTGTCGCCGGTGCTGGCAGAGCCTTCATCCCACCATTGTTTCCGGCGACAACATCCACTCGACCAACTTTGAAGCTAGTCACTTGATCCTCTTCTACGAAGACGTGTAGAAGATCTTCATCTTGTTGTCTATGTCGTGGAGCCATCATATCAAACACAAGGTCCCACCAGGTGTGCCAAATTTGTTTTCTGGCGAGAAAACTTGCGTTGAAATGATATTAATGCACCTTTGACTTCTTTGGGCAACGATTACTAAGACACGGCTCACACCTCTTCAAACAAAGTTCGAACGAGGGTGTTTGATTGATGGTTTTTTGGGAACGAGATCTAAATTAAATTACTTCTACTCCTATGGAGGTTCGGCGAGAGCTCCAAACTACGAACTACATCTATGGCTACATGATAGAGAAAAGGTAAAGGATAAACTTGACATGTGTGTCAGAGTGTTGGTTTTGGAACCCCTGTCTCTGTCGACCCCTCCTCTTATTTATAGCCCCGAGGAGGTAACCGCCATAGAAAACCGCTTGTTGGATAACTGCTACTAAGAACCGCTCCCCCTTCTTCGGTAGAAAACCGCCTCTTGGATAACTCCCAAAAAGAACCGCTCCTTGCTTCCTCGGAGTGGTGGTTACTCCTTCAACCGCCTAGGGGCCTCTCGTGTAACCGTCATGGGTCTTGGAGTGTAGCTTGCCTCGCCTGGTCTTGTTCTGAATCTTGTGTCATGCTAGTCTTTTGATAAGCATGTGGTGTCTCACAAAGGGGGTCGTGGTCTTCTTGCCTCGCGGCCATGGACTTCTTACTCATGTCCATGGCCTTCTTGTCTAACGGTCATGGTCCTCTTGAGACATATTCACTAGTGATATAATGCTCCATCACCACACCCTTCTCATTCGTGTCCATGGCCACTCTTGTGAAGTGGCATGGACTTCTCAATCACGCACAAGGCCCCTCTCATGAGGCGGCACGTGCTTCTCCTTGAAGTGGCATGTACCTCTTCCAGATTTAGTTTATTTTTCAGTCATTAGGCCTTGGTCATGGGGCGGCATGGCCTCTCGATTTCTAGATGGACATGGACCTCTTCATGAGGCGGCACATGCTTCTAGATTTTAGATGGACATGGCCCTCTTCGCTGATGCGGCATGTCACTCTCCAGACTTAGTGGCTTGGGCTTAAAATCAATATTCATAAGGCCCAACTTAAACAATATTAATTGTTATAATGGGTGTGGCCTTATAAACTCCTTGATTATCTTGTAACTCACCAATGTGGTACAAGACAAAATTTATTGTGTAAACAAAAGGGATAGACGAGACTGTGCTTCGAGAGCCAGTCCGCGACTCTATTTCCTTCTCGATACGTATGAACGAGTTGGACCACCCACCTTTGCGCTAGAAGTCTGCGAATAGCTCCCAAGATAGTGGCGTGAGGGTGAGTTTGATCTGTTCGATTTCTGATGAGGTCGAAAGCAAGCTGGAAATCTGTTTCAAGTATGAGAAACTGGGAAGTTGAATTGCATATTAGAGACCAATTAATGATACGAGTTTATCGCAGTTTTAATCATGCACTATTCTTATTTGGGCAATATTTACTATGAAAACTTGGATAATTAACTTCAGTAGTTTGACGTACGTATGATACAATTTTTGAATTTTATTTTTTGAATTTATGATATTTGTACATCCGCTTTGAATATATGAATGAGAAGATCGAAATCTATTAATATATCCTAGAATCATTTATTACCTACAAAATTTGATAATATTTATTTCCGTATGCATCCATGAAACATAGTTTGATGGGTCAATTAATAACATATAACATTCACAAAATAATAATCATGTTTGAATCTAACATATGATAAATTTAAAGGTAAATTGCAAGGTTAGTCTCAGAAAGTGCTACAAAGTTCATATTTGGTGACTAAAAGTATTTTATTCCATTCATTGTCACCGGAAGTGATTAAATATGTGGTCACTCTTTGTTAGTCTTCGCCAGCCTCCATTAACACCTTCAGTATTTCGCTGATGTGGTAACATAAATATTGATTCACTCATTTTTAACCCGCCACGTCATAAAACCCAACCTGCTGGTACGTCAGCAAAACCGACCACATCATACAACCTAATCCAACCCATAACTGACCACCCTTGCTTCTCGACCCACACAATCCAAAAAAATCCAACCTTCAATCCTCCTCCTTCCGCCGCCAAATCCCTAACTTCCTCAATAATCCTCAAATCCGTGAATCTCCATCACACAAAACAATTAATCCCCCGAGCAGTTCCCTCCCCCGTTCAGCAAAGCATCGCAGTCCAAATCCCGTTAATAGGTCAGGGTTGAGATACTGTCTGAATTCCTCCCCTACATCAATCGATATGAAGGAAAATTAATCGTCGTCAAGTACGACGACACCATCATGAAAGACCCGAAAACTGAAGGCCTTCGTCGTCAGCGATCCTCATTCTCCTTCCACTTTACTAAGTTGGATTTGTTTTGGGAAATTGTTGGTTTTGATTTATGGAGGAAGGAATTAGTTTATGAGTTTTTGGAAGAAGTAGACAAATGTGAAGCCAGGGAAGTTCTTATACCCTCTGTTAGGAGGAGCGAAAATAGATGGAGGGGGAAATTAATGAGATCAATAAATTTTCTGTTGTTCATGAGTTTGCTACAACATAAAGAAGGTGTGATTATTTGGCCGGAGAAATTACTTAAGCAATTGCTCCTATATATATTTTCTCCTTCAAAATTGAACACCATTTTCTATCATCATTTCACATTTTCACTACCATCATTATTGCTTTCTGATTGTTGTTTTATTTCACCCGTGCATCCACACATAAGCATTCCACGTGAAAATATCAAGATCTGGTAGGTGAACCATCATAGCTAATTACTATTCTAGGGTTTGTTTTCTTCATTTTTATCTTCAATCACTTCCTTCATTAATTGGTCCAACAACTATCAGGAAGCTTTGTCCGAAATATCTGTGTCTAGTACTGGTTCTCTTCCATTCACTTTTTTTACTATTATTTGTTATTCGCAATTATTTTGGAAGCGTGTAGTTACAAGTTCATGATTCAACACTGATTAATCTGATCAATTAATTAATATGTTCGTTTAGTTTAGTTTTTTTTATAACATAGTCAGAAGTTCAGAAACAGCCATATAGAGGACAGTAATCAAATCATGGTAGTTGAACTATCGATAAGAGAATCTTTTGTACAACAAGATCGACAGCCTTATTAAAGTGAACGATGAACAAAGAAATAAGAAACATATTGAAACTGATAAGATCACAACCGGACAATATCTTCCATTATGTCTCCTCCCAAGTTAAGCGCGAAGTCCTTCGGCGCCACTCCTCATATAACCAGTTGAGAATCGCCAAGGAATTTAACAGACCAAACACCATTGATTAGACACCGATTCATAACATCTCTCAAAGCCAATAATACAGTACAATACATTTCTATAGTTTCTATTTCTAACTGCAAATTATCATTTCAACAACAACAACAAATGTACACACATATGAAAGCAATACAGGAAATAGGATATATTTGATCATATTACTGCCTGCTAATAACCTAAACACTTCAGTGCCTTCTTAGTAGAGCAATTCTGACTTCATTGTGTGATCATCGATCTGAGCTTCCTCTTCTTCTTCTATCGTGGCAGAGTAATCCAGCCCACTCCATGACTTAGGCTTCACTCCAAGCTTAACATAAACCACCTTCTCCAACACCTCAAACACCTTGTTCTCATCCAGAACTCCATTCCACATCCCACTCACTATACAATAATTACTATTATAAGGCGGCCGGTGGTGCCCTTGGTGCCGCACCCTCGACAGCAAAACTCCGGCGTCCTGCAGCGCCGCCACCACCGGCGGCAGCCTGCTCCTCGTACCATGAGCCCAAGCGTGGCACTGCTGGCAGAACATGACGCACCCGGCGAACGTCCCGAGAAACCCGAGAACGGCCGGGTTATTACACATCACCTCCAACGGTAGCACCGACAAGGCCACGGCGCGAGCCAGGGCGTGCACGTTGTTGGCGCACTCGCGCCGGGTGATGGTCCAGGGCCACCTGTGGTGGCCCTGGGCGGCCTCGAGCTGGGCCCCCAAAACGGGGGTCGTTTTGTCGCCGTAGTTGTCGATGGCCCAGTGGTAGAGTCCCGAGCCGAGGTCGGCGAGGACGTAGCCCGTGTAACAGGCGAGCAAGGGCTGGGGCCAGGTGCGGGTACGGGCTGAGAGGATGGCGGCTTTGAGGAGGGAGAAGAGGACGGCGGCGCAGCCGGTTGCGAGCCACGCGCGGTGGCTCCATGTAGAGGTCAGGCCGGGGTCGGTTGTGGTGAGGTATATGTGTGGGGTGCGGTGTTGTGGCTGGAGGACTGCTGCTAACTGGTTCTGGTTCTGGTTCGGGTTGTTCTTGAACGGTGTGGTGGTCGCGGCGGCAGATCGGATTGTGATGAGCGGCTGGCGGTGGGAGCTATGGGGCGGATGGAAATGGCGGGGAGAGGAGGGCCTTGGAAGGAGGAGGGTGTGGTGCTGTAAGGCAGACATGGAATGGAAGAGAGAAGGTGAGATGAAAGAGAAGGGAATAACGGGTGCGACTGGTGGTGGCGGCTTAATTATGAGATTGTGCTAGTGTTATTTATGGCAATAGTTGGCAACTTGGTTGAGGGTCTTGACTTTTATATTTTTTTTTTATTATTGAGGAAACTCAATCATATGTACCACCTTATGATAGCGGGGTCTATTAAATCTAGGGAAGTATTTGTATCAGTAACATTTTCAAGGTCTACCATCCGATACTGGGGAGACTTTGTCTCAAACATTCGCGGTGCCTCCGGGAACACCAAGTAGTACACATCTCAAACCCGAAAAACCACACACTCCCTATCAACTCAGTTGTGTTACCTTTGGCAAGTCTTGAGTTTCCTTATAAGGGAATGCTATATATTTATATCGTTAAGTTGATTCAATAATGATTCGATTAGGATACAATTGATTTAGGTCGACATTAACAAAAAAAAAAAAAAGCGGAGAAAGTGAAAAGCTATTAAAAGAAAATACATATACATTTTATATTTCAAGACAATCTCACAACTTATATACATATTTAAATAAAATAAAACATCAGAAACAAAATGAAAAAAATTTCTCATATTTAAATACAACATTTAATATCAATATCAAAATGTTTACACTAGACTAGTCTAACAAATAACATGGACATCCATATTTTTTTTAAAAAAAGTACATTAAAAACACATCAAATTCACGTCGTAAGGAAAAGAAAATTAGACATATCATTGGACCACTAGTTCTTCGGTTTTAACAAGTATATTTATCAATTTTAACCAACATTAACCAATATTGACAACCACATCACCGAAAATATTCCAACTGGTTTGATTATCTATGTTGGTTGAATCCGATTATACTGGCCAGCAAACCACTAACTGGCCACCATACTTTGAGTTGAGTGTAAACTATAGAGCACATGCACCACGAGGCAAGTAATAACCGATGGATGGAGCTGGCGAGGAGAGGAAGAATGGTCAGGCTGACAGTTGGCGGATAATATACATATGAAATATCTCCACGAAACCATCACTCTGTAGTCTCTCCCTCAAATGCGCCGATCAAAAAGATTATCCAAAGCATTAAATAGGGATGATGTTATTGAGAGAAGAGAAGGAGCACACAATTGCACGCTTCCAACCTCCACCGTTTAGGGGCCGCCGATCCTGGTCCATAATCTGAATTATGCAGTGGTACGTGACAGAATCTGATGGAGATCATATTCATGATTTATTTTGGGATATGATCAATGATTTTGTAGTGATGGATCTAGGATTTCGGATTTAGATCTAAATTAGATATTCAAATTTATGACTAATTTGCAGTGATGAAGTCTGGATTTTGTATGAGCAGCAAGTTTGTTAAACCGATTTATATCGTTGTGTTGGTTCTGCAAGTGGAATGGTACCGGTTTGTGCCAGTTCATGCCTGCTTAACAAAGTACGACATTCCAAATAAAATAAAAACGATTAACGTCAATATAAAAAACGTTTATACGTGAATCCAACAAATTACATTAATTTTTAGGGTATACCTACTATGACATGCATGTCACCGTAACATGGATTTTTCGGTCGACCTAATCCTGAAGGAGGTCGACCGAATTGACTAATTTGGGCAGCACGAGAAAGCATTGCGGTCGACCTCAAAGACCACCTGGTCGACCGTTCTTAGTTTAAGTTGTTATTTTTGGTCAACTAGAATAAAACCTCGGTCGGCCATTTCGTTGGCGTCAGAAACAACATGGTCGACCGTAAAGGTATATAGGTCGACCACTTGATGGCAGTCATTAACAACATGGTTGACCAGATAAAGAAAGTGGTCGACCGGATAGAAGATAAGTGTTCTATCAATTTGTCCAATCATTTGACGTAAAATGAAGATCAAGTGTTGGTTTCGAGGTCGACCTAATCCGGTACGAGGTCGACCGAATACAAGAAAGTCAACCTATGCTCCGTGTCTTTTTTGCTTATGAATGTCGATTTGTGTAGTTCTTTTGCTCGTATAAATTATGTTTCAAACCATCATAACTAGTCATAATGGTTTGAAATACAATAAATACAACTAAACAAACTAACACGGACTCATCAATTCATAGCATAACAACTAAACAAACTAACAAGAAATACAATAAAACAGAAATCATAATTGTTCACACATAAAAAAAACTAAAACAATAGAATAACAATCAACAATCGTTTTGACCACTTAACAATAAAAACACACAATCTAAAATCTTCCCTCATCCACATTTTCTTCATTTGTGTTGCTAGCATGATGGTGGTCGGATATGATGGGATGCATGTATCTTCCTCTGAAAGATCGCCACTCATCTCGCATCTCATTCGCGGTCACCTGCATTGTGCTCATCTGGGCGGTCATTTGCCCCATGTAGTCGTACATGCCAGTCATCTGGCTGGACATCTGGCCCATGTACTCGTACATGTCATCCATGCGCTCCCACATACGCTCTAAGGTGACCGGTGGAGTTGAACTCTGTGCCTGCGGCATTGGCTGGTCTCCGGCTCCTTCATCACCATCACCATCATCATCATCATCATCATCATCATCATCACCATGGGCACCATGAGCATTGTTTATTCGGACATACTCACCATTACGCAGCTCAAAGCCCATCTTTTTCAGAGATGAAATTGTATAGAACTCCTTCCTTGAGATTCTTAACCCCACCTCGCCACTTAAATCCACATGAAACTGCTCAAATAGCAAAGTCAGGATCATCTCGTAGGGAAGATTCCTGTTTGAACTCTCTGCAGCAGTAAGCATGTGGTTAAAGATCAAATATGGCAAGTTCACCTTCTCGTCTAACAGTAGGTTGGTGAGGAGCTCCATGTCGAAGTAGGTGACTGTCTCCCGATGCCCACCCTTTGGCAGAATGTTGTAGGAAAGCATGTGGTGAAGAACTCTGGCTTGAACTGTCAGGTGGTTACTCGTTGGCCTACTGCGACCCTCAGCATCTTCCTCTTCATCAAGACCACATACCGTCTGGATTTGCTTGGTTCTCGAGAAATGAGTTTCATTCCAAGCAGTGTAAGAATTAATTCTCTTTCCCTCGTTTGGAGCCTCTAGTACTTGCGCCAACACATTCTTGCTGATGCGCATCTCCACCCCATTCACATAGGTTTTAAATGCATGAATGGATCCAAGTGCATTACGCTGGTAGACGATGTTGTTGTAGAAGTCCTGTACCATTTTTGGGTAGTATGGTACATTCAGAGATATCACCTTCAGCCACTCTTGCTCGACAAAGTGTCCTAGAAACCCGTAATTCTCAAAATGAGAATACGAATCCGTCGTCAATGGCCTTCCAGGAGCCACCCTGCGGTTGTGCATTCTCCTCTCTTCATAGTTGTTACTTTGCTCCTTGGTCTGCAATAGAGTGGGATTGAATTCTTCCCATTCCGAACTTGAGGTAGCAACTTTTTGTGACTTTCTTTTCTTTTTGTTGCCAAACATCCTACGATGATGAGGAGAGGGCGACAGCAGCATCATGAAGAGGATTTTAATGACGAGGAAGAAGAGGGCTTTGAGGAGGATGATGATTTGCGAAACCTCAAGGTCACGATTCCACCTTTTCGCGGTACCACGAACCCTGATGCTTATTTGGATTGGGAGCGAAAGATGGAACTAGTGTTTGATTGTCATAACTACTTCGAGAAGAAGAAAGTGACATTGGCTGCCCTAGAGTTCTCGGATTATGCACTTGTTTGGTGGGATCAGTTGGGAACGAAACGAAGGAGAAACAGGCAGCGTCCTATTGAGACGTGGGATGAGATGAAAGGAATTATGAGGGATCGGTTTGTACCGAGTTCCCATTTGCGAGATATGTATCAAAACCTCCAGCTTCTCCGGCAAGGAACTAAAAGTGTTGAAGATTATCACAAGGAGTTGGAAGTGTTGGTGATACGTGCTGATGTGAGAGAGGACGGCGAGGCTACCATAGCTCGTTTTCTGTATGGTCTCAATCGAGAGATCAAGAACGTGGTGGAGATACAACCGTTCCTTGAACTTGAAGATTTGGTGGATATGACAAGTAAAGTGGAACGACAACTTCAAAATAGGAGGTTTCAACCCTCCATGAATTCCACACGTTCGAGCCAAGGAGTTGCAACCAACCGTAAGTTGCAACTGCCCGTGAAAGAGGCTCCTAGACCCGTGGCAAGGGCTGATGGTGCAAATCCAGTTATGAAGCAAGGTGGATCGTCGGGGGAAATTCGTTGTTTCAAATGCCATGGAAGAGGACACATTGCGAGCCAGTGTGCCAATAAGAAGACCCTGATCTTGCTTGATAATGGTGAGTATGTATCGGAGGAAGAGGAAGAGACCACCGATTCTGATGTCGATGAGTCTATGGAAATGGAACCACCTCCAGGCAGCTTGTTTGTAGCACGGAGAGTATTGTCTGTGCAGCCTAAGGAGGAGAGTGAACAGAGAGAAAATATCTTCCATACGAGATGTGTAGTTGATGGGAAGTTGCTGCTCTAGTGATCGATGGAGGAAGTTGCACGAACACTGTGAGCACGTGTGCGGTGAAGAGGCTAGGGCTGCCTACGTTGAAGCATCCAAAGCCATACACACTGCAATGGCTTAACGATCACGGATCCATCAAAGTCACAAAGCAGGCATTAATGAAGTTCGGGATTGGAGATTACAAAGATGAGATTTTGTGTGATATAGTGCCTATGCAAGCTGCACATGTGCTTTTTGGCAGGCCATGGCAATTTGATCGACAAGCACTTCATGATGGAGTGACAAATAAGTAAAAGTTGCAACATGGAGGAAATAAGTTCGTGTTGAAGCCTCTGTCTCCAAGTGAAGTATATCGAGATCAACTCCAAATGCAGCAACGTCGAGAGCAAGAAAAGGCAAGTAATGCCTTGGCCAAGAAAGGAGAAGAGGGAGCTGGAATTGTGGATTCGAAGGCAGTGATGCTAGCACGCAATAGAGATTTGAAG